AATTTTTTTTTGGTGGTTTCATTTTTAAGCATGGTGTAATTCCTTGGGGGAGGCTTGCCCTTTTTAACAAAAGGGGGGGGGTTCTTCCCCCTTTGCGGGGATTTGGGGGGGGGGGGGGGGTGAGAGGCAGCTTTTGTTGAGGAATGTCTGAAAATTCGTGCTTCCAGAGGGGTAGAAACCAGGGTACACGCCGGGAATGTGGATTTGGAGATGGCAACGAAACGGTAGGGTAATACCGAGAACGCGATGAAACTTGTACGGATAAACTTTAGGAATTATTCGATACGGCTTTTGGGCGCCGAGTCGTCTACAGCGCTGTATCCGCCAGAGTTGCCGGCATCGGCACGCGTGCATCCTGGTGCGAGAAAACAACAACCAGCCCAAAAACAACAACGAGACGGCTGTGGAGATATTATTTGCAGACAAACGCCACCACGGGAACAAAAAAATAGCATAGCAATAACTTACCTCGTTGGTGGTCAACGGGGCTGTAGCAATGACGGCCACACGATCCTGAGCAGAGGGGAGAGTGGAAGCGGTCGTACGAGAAAACGAAAGCGCATGCGCGGAGGGAGGTGTAATGATCTATTGCTCGCCTATGACGTCAGTGGGCAATTGACCATGCATCTTTTGTTAGCATCACCACAGCAGCAGCAGAGCATACGGTGCCTCCAAACCATGCCACAAACGCACTATCGATTAGCCACAAGCTCAGTGGCAGCGGCACGACCAACAATTGTACCAGCAGCAACAGCAGCAGCAGCAGCAGTAGCAGCAGCAGCAGCAGCAACAACAACGACAACAGCAACAGCAACAGTAACAGTAACAACAATCATAAAATAAAACAGCAGGAGCAGCAACAACGGCAACAACACCAACAACACCACCACCAACAACAACAACAACAACAGCAGCAGCGATCCGCCTGCTTGGGTTAGGCACACACACGGCCGCACACACACACACGCACTCACGCACTCACTCACTCACTCACTCACGCACTCACTCACGCTGGGCGTCGTGACGGTATTGAAGTCCACCTCGCAGTCGTCGTCAATGAGCTGGCAGGTCGTGAACGGAAACTCCCTCACGGTGTAGTACAGGCTGTTCCACACCTCGGATCCAGGACGAGCTCCTGGCCAGCACCCTGCATATAGGAGCCAGATCTCAGGCCAGGCCGGGTACAATCACGCCGAAGCGGTCAGGCTACATACAGGACGTGCCACCACCTCAAGAAGGACCTCTTAATTTTTTGCTTGCGAAGCTCGTTTAATGGGGGAAATCCAACAGCAAATAGATAGAGTGGTTTTAGTTTTGGGTTGTTATCTAAGCACCTCCGCTTATGGTCAACTTATAAAAAAAAAAGGGTCGCGCCGTTTCGCGAGGAATAGGCTTGGCGTTTTCGCCCCGAAAACGTAAATGCGTACCATTCATCCTTGTTGTATGTATTATGTATCCATACATTTTGTGATATATTTTACTGTCATATGCATACATACGAGTGCAGTATTTAACGCGCACCTGCGAAAAGGGTGTCCCCACCCTGTCCCAGCAAAAAGTTGAAGATAACTCCCGATTCGCTGCAAAGTTCCTTCCACAACCGCTTCAGCTCGACGAACACGTCCGCCATGTTCGGGGGGGCTGCGAAAGGGTCGGGGTCGCGCGCGCGGTGGGGGGCGGGGCGGGTTACGTCTGCAATGCGTTGCGGTAGTGTGTGGTATTGACCGTAGAGCTTGGCACCCCCATGGAGTCCGCACGGATCATGGCGAGTCCCGCCGACGATTTCTGCGCCAATCGAGATATGCCATGGGGTGATTCGATTGGGCATCACGGCGAACCAAACATTCCACATTCGGCAGGCAGGCAAGACTATGCTTACTTGGGGGTACCGCAAGGGACTTCGTTCTTTGCGCGCTTGCACATAACAGGCGCGCCACAAACACGCCCCTTCGTAAGTGATAGATACACTTGGAGTATAATCTGTTTCTATAAATCAGGTGCGAGAGTTCAAGGAGAAGTCATCCATAAGATTATTGCTTCAGGGTGTTCCAACTATCCAGTATTCAACGGACATCCTATAGGGTGTCCACTCGAGGGCCGAAGCCCACAAGCTCACAGGACGCAAAAAAATAAAAATAAAATGCACCCGTGGGTACGCATGTAAGCCATGCATCAACACCCTTGACAGGCGAAAACACCCCATGCAGGAAAAACAAAAAGGAAAAAGTGTTCCCAGTCTCGATCACTTTTCCTGCTACACAACTCCGCCCCATCCTGTCCCTTCAACCGACAACCAGATATTTGTAACCAAAACAATTCTGGCAGTACTAAGCAACTCCTGGTAGGTTCTCTGCTTTGGTAGGAGCATGAAATGGCCAAAAACTCTAATGATAACCCTAACCCTAACCCACCCGATAGGTGCTAGGTTGGCGCTGGTGGCTAAGTTCTACTTGAAGTATGCATTGGGTCAGCATTGGCGCCAGGTTGGTGTGTAAGGGATAATATCTAGGTTTTTATTGCTTGGATGGCGTTGACGCGGTAAATCTAGGTTGTGCGGCTTGCTTGCATAGGTGTTATGTTGGTTCCTGACGTGGGTTGGTGTTAGGTTGGTGGTGCTTGGAGTAGGGCTAGGTCGCTCTTGGGTGGTAAAACGGTGCTCGCGCAGGGCTGCTGTATAGGCTGGACTGCCAAGTTTGGGTGCATGGCTAATGTGCGTACCCTTGGGTGTATCGATTTTTTTTGCCCACAGGACACGTGCTGTAAGATTGATTGAAGGAAATCTGGGGGTTGTAGTCGCAAAAAAAAAAAAACGTGGGGGTCCACCACTCATACTGTAATAATAACATTAGTAATAATAAATATAATTAATAATAATAATTAATAACAATAAATAGTACTAACAATAACTCCAGATTCATGAGCATAAAACAAACTGCAAAAAACAACCCCATGACAGCAATTTAAAAAAAAAACTCAAAACCTCAAACCTCACTCACAGGTGAGGGAATGATCGGTCTCAGTTTCGCCGGAGGGGGAAAATGGGTACTAATGGGGAAAAAAAAGTGAGGCCGGGGAGAATCGAACTCCCAATCTTCAGGACTGGAATCTGACGCGTTACCATTGCGCCACGGCCCCATATGGAATATGAGGATGAACATTGCACCTATGATCCGGTGCGGGGTTCTCGTGGTCGCGGGCATTACAGTCAGGGGGGGCAGGGGGGGGGTACTCCCCGCAGAGGCTCGTGTTCCCCGGACACATATCCAACAGTACCACTGTATAATCAAGAGAAAAAGGTCAAAATTTTGGCACCTGGCCGAGTCAAGGTAAATACTGACAACAGGGATATCGAAATTTTGACACCCAGTCAAGCCATGGCGGCAGGTGACAACAACAACAACACGCATTCAAGGGGGCTGCGGGGTGGCTGCCTCTCTCACCGTGCGGAAAGGCGTCCAAGAGACGATTGAGAAAGAAGCAAAACACCGCCTCGCTGTCCGTGTCCCCCACGGGGGTGTACCGCTTGCTCTTGGTCTGCAGGAAGAGCGCCCTCGTGGCGGGGTCCTTGGCGGACGGCACATCGCCGTTGTGCGCGAATATCCAGTAGCTTGACGTTGTTGTTGTTGTCGTCGTCGTTGTTGTTGATGGTGGTATTTCATAGGTACAAAAATAACATGTAGAGGAGTACAGGGCCGCGCGGGAATACGCACGTCGGGGAAGGTGTGGGGTGGAACTCTTTGCCATGCGCATGCATTGCTGTGTCATCCTCCAGGCTATATATACACCTCGGCCCGCCGCATGCCGATAACAGGCCGGGATGGGGTTGGCATGTGCCAGGCTTGGGTATGTGGGACGTCAAGACGCATTGGAGGGTCTACAGTATATCAAGTCCACTGCAGCTGCAAGTAGCATCTGGTAGACACAAATAGCCTTCAGAGGTGGACACATTTGACAACTCCTAAAAAAACACACACACACACACACACACACACACACACACACGGCAAACCACTCGCGCATGACGGTGTAAGGGTGCTTACGTGCACTGTCGTTTATCATCCCGTTCTAAATCTTTTAGTCTATACAATTCGCCGCCGAATGACTCTCTCCTCCAGTTAGCCACGCCCGCAAACCCCGGCGTCTTGCAATTGATCATGAGCCGTCACCCGCCATCGCACACGCACAGACTGCATACCTTCCCCAAAGCTCCCTAGAGAAAGGGTGCACGTTCTCAAGGCGAACCTTGCCCTGCGTCGCCATCCTCACGTGGGCGATCACCGTCCGGGTCTTGATCGGGTAGTTGCAGATCAGGTTGGCGATGGGGCTCAGCGCGCTCGGCAAGGAATCGCAGAAATTTCGGAACCCTTTCCCTTCGAAGAAGGCCACGCCCCACCCGTCGACGTGGCGACCCGTCCGCCCCCCGCGTTCCCGGAACCCACGAAACGAGAAGCAAAAGTCCGTCGGAGTGTTGGCCTGACATCGTGCGATGAACCCAAGAAAGATATCACACCATGGTGACAATCACGAAATCCATAGTAGTCTATGTCTCATAGATACGATGTTGACGATGCAGCAGTATAGCATGGTCGGATTGAAGAAGCAAGGCCGGTATTTTCAAGAATTTTGGAAAAGGATAGCGCGGAGTTCCACACGAAATCATTCATACTTCTGGTAGACCCATCCTCGGCCTGCGCCCCAAATAAGAATGTCAGGCTGAGCCTGAGAAGAGCGGGGGGTGGGGAGGGGATGGAAGGCTAAGGCTCCTCTCCAACACCGTTTTTTTTTTTTTCCGAACGGGAAATTGGATGATGGTTTTTCATCCTCAACCTAGACAAAGGTCTAGACAAGTCATCTAGGAAAACAACGGTGTGGATGATGTGCCTGTGCCAGTATTCCTGCGGGCTTCGCGTCAATACCGTTGGTTGTAGCTCCCGTGCTGTGTACATGTAGGTCGCGCCGCGTTGCGCCAGGCAGCAGCACTCTTTCTACTGCTTTAGTCTCGTGGTGGACGGAGCACACGTATGTACGTTGTAGCCAGCAACAAACCGTCGCAGTTGTCGTCGGTAGAGAGTACCACACACGGCATGCCAGTGCAGCAGTTTAGTGATGGCAACACTTTAAATGCTGGAACGCGTGCAGGCCATCGCATACCACTCTACCCAGCAGCATGTGCAGACGGACGCGTGCTGTGTTCACTTCACGGTTTGATCACCCGCAAAATTGTGCTTGCTTCTTATAGTAGCCTATTCTATTTTCCGTGCCCATGCCGGACGCAGCACCTTCGATGCCATGTATCCACAGCTGCTGCACAAGCAAACGCCAAAAGGTGCAAAAACCGTGCCTCTCGGCACGCGTTGAAATCATACATTGATGATGGCTCTCGGCACCTCTATAACAACTGCCGAAGGTGCGGCGTAACCATGGATGCGTTAGAATTGGCGTTTGGTGCGTGCGATAAGAGGCTTCACGGGGTGACCACAAACTCTAGTAGTCCGCACCTGCATACCCATGAGCTGACACATGGCGAAGCAGCCAAGAGGAGAAGAGAGTGCGGAAAGCTGAGCCGGAGAAGCGTGTGGGGATGCATTTTCGGCAGCACCAGAAAATGCGAAGATGATTGCAACTCAATCTACTACGGAGATGGCGGCGGAACCGAATGATTGACATACAGCATGCATGTGTACCCGATGCGAACCGTAGGTTGCATTAGATGTCACACACCCTTGGGGCGATTTTCAAAGCTCGAATGCTCGCAGGACAAGCGGCAAAAGTGCCGATAATGGCGGCTTTGGAACTGCCTCATCGAGAGATTGCCGAAAAATGCCTCATTTGATCTCGGCATCCTCTTCGTGGAGTAATCGCGCTTTGGGAATCGCTCCGGGGGTGGATGTGGGTGTGGTATCTCATGCTACCCATGTACGGTATGATCGATGCGTTATACATGTGGAGTAGTCGATGTGTGATGTCCTTACAAATTGCATTCCGTCGCCCATCTCCTTCATCCTCCGGGTATCTGGGTGTATGTGACATACAACACCCAAAATATATCGTTTTCATTGGATCGTATTTCCTGCAAAAGAGTCACTTTCGAAAACAACAGCGCGATTGGTTTGCCAGCAGAGATGATATGGGCTGACAACAGCCCGTGACATCGCATTAGCCCAACGACACACAGTAAACCTCCAAAGGTCAAGAGCTGAATGTTTTCACGTTGCCACGACGGGGCATTCACTTCAGCCCTGCGCTCGTCACCCCTTTCCCACCGCAAACGACGGATGGTATCGACGACGTGGACGGCCGCAAAAAGGGGGGGGGGAAAGAAAAAACACGACTACCTATCCCCCCACTTTGTTTTGGCACACCGAAGGGGCACCTCCACATGTCAAGAGGGAATACAGTTTGATGGTTTTTCCCGAACACACGCACACTGCTGTCAACAGCATTCTTCTCCCTCTCTTCAAAACCTGTCTCATCCATCCATGTCAGTCACCACATCCCCCGCAAGCACGTGCTCGTGGAGCCGACAAGAGTACTGCTTTGTAGCCCTACAGCGACCCCTCGCTAGGGTTAACACGAAATATTTCCAAAGGCGATCAATGCGACAGCCAACAAGTAGCTCTAGCGACCCCTCACTGCAACACCGAATAACTCTAAAGCTGATAAATACGACACCAAACAAGTATGCATAGCCCTAACGATCCAAAACTACGCGTGGCTACACCGAATCTGAAGCTGATACCACAGCAAACAAGTAGCCCTAACGGACCTCACTACAGTACACGCTGAAACACGAAAAAACTTTGAAGCTGATAGATGCGAAATAAATATCGTTCCGAATGCTGACAATGACCTGTACAACATACATGCGTAGAAGTAACAAAACAAGTTTCGAATTTCATCCTCTGGCGACCAAAAAGTGCGTCGGCCTACGAAAATTCGGTCAAAAAAGACCCCGGTGAAGACAAGCACTTCCGGCGCGTTGGTCTTGGCAACTCCGAGCGTGTGCACGGGCGGGTCGCATTCGCCCTCGCTCGCTTACTTGTGGGTGGTTCTATATTGCTGCTTGCGCCCACCGCGGCGCGTTTCGTACGCGCTGTGCTCGCGGCGTTGGAGCTACCGGTCTGGTTCTCCGCAAACTTCGAGCCTAGCCTGCGCGAAATGCTTCGAGTCCTTTCGCTCGACGCCGGCGAGCTGTGCTGGCCCGCTGCGGCAGTTTCTAGCCCCATCCTGCTAGCGGTGCTCGAGGCTTGTGCTTGGCGAGCGCTGCAACGGTTTCTTCCACTGCTGCTGGTTCCACCGCTGTTCGTCTCCACGCTGGGTGGTGTCCGGCCGCTCGAGGGGGCGATGTTCGAGGGGGCGATGTTTTCGACCTCCTCGCCGTAGCCGTGTCCGTTGTCAGGCAGAAGCCTTGCTCTCTTGGGCAGCCGCTCCCTTCCATGGGCATCCTCAGCAGGAGACGGCGGCGGCGGCGGCGGCGGCGGCGCGCGACGTTGTCGTGCCGAGGTCCCAGCCGACCCCCCGCAGCCATCGCGTGCCTCCGCGTTCGACCCTGTCTCTACCGCCACCCCCGAACGGGCAGCACCACACTGTTGTTGTCCTTCCTCGTTCTCGCGCGATGGACCCGTGGTGCGGCCCGTCGAAGGCGAGCCGCCGCCGCCGCCACCGCCGACGTCTTCCCTCGGGCTCTTCTCCTTCGACACTCGCTGGCTTTGTGCCGCCGTTCTTCCCCCCGAGGAGGGCGGCGAGGCTTTGGCGACCTTTCTGCAAGAACGACCGCCGCTGGTGGTCGCCAGGCTTCTGGCGGCGCGGTCGCCTGGACACGGGCCGGCCGCTCCTCGGACCGACGCGACCCAGCCCGCGCTGGCTTCGAGCAGCGCCAGCGCGCGCTTCTGCCTCTTCTCCTTCTTCCGCTCGTCGATCTGCTCTTGCTCGCTCGTCGTCGCGGATGGGGGAGAGGGCGCGGTCCCGATCTCGCGCGGTGGAGCAGGACGGGTCAACCGCTGTTGTTGCGGATCGGTGTCCGGCTTGTCGTCGCCGCGTTTCGGCGGGGAGCGCGAACTACCGGGGGCTTCAGGCACCCCGCCCGTCCCCCCGCGTCTCACCCGCAGGTCCATTCTCCGTGCCGCATCGGGCGACGAAGATGAGGCGCCGCCCACCACGGAGCTTGAATTTTCTCCCCGGGAGCCGCGGGTGCCGCGCCGTCGCCCGGTGCGCGGTGTGGACGACGTCGACGTGGGCGAAGATGACGCCGACAACGGGGGCAACTCGTCCGGCCCTTGAACATCATGCTCCGGCGATTCGGCCGGGCATACCGAGCTCTTGCTGCTGCTGTCCTGCTTGCTGCGGCAGTCCGCTAGGGAGGACGGGACGCTCGCGACAGACGTTGCCGGCGTGTCGGCGACAGGGGAGCCTGGTCTTCGATGGTCCTTCCGGCTGTCTCCGTTCGGCGGACAAGTCCCACGCATGAATCTCGGTGGCGCTTGTCGACACTCTCCTGGTGCTCCTGGTTCGCTGCTGCAAAGAGCCACCCCGCTCGGCTGTTCCAGCTTCGGCCGGAGGCGTGGCGAGCCCCGCGAGGCCCTCGCGCAGCCGCCGCCGCCGCCGCCGCCGCCGCCACCTCCGGTCGCTTCTCGCAGCCCGGAGGGAGAGATCGCTCCTCCTTCCAAGACCGAGTCTTCCTTCTTCGCCGTGGGTGCCTCCCGCTCGCCTTCGCGGCTTGACGAGACAGCGCTGCCCTGTCGGCGGCCTGACGGGGGGCTACCTGTACCCAGGGCGATAGGATTTTGGTCGTTGTGTTCCCCGCATCCCTGCGGCGCCTCGCTTCCCGCCACCGGCGGAAGGAGGGGCTCCTCACCACCCCCCTCTTCGTGGCCTTCCTTCGTAGCCGGTCCCGGCAACGCCGGCGACACGGCGGTACTGTCGCGGCCGGCGACCTCCGCTTTGGGTGTCGGGTACGCTGCCGTTCGGCCCGGAGCTGTATCGCTGACGACGCTCGAGTCGCCCTCCGCACCCGTCCAGCTCTCAAACGCGAGCAGCGCCGCAAAGTTAGGGTCCGCCTCGACGGCAGCCGTGTGCCGATCACTAGCGCAGTGCTGCGGGCAAGACATGACATGACGGGGATACAGCATAAGGATTTGTCGTTAGAAGAGAATGTGTAAAGAACACGGGCATTGAATCGCAACATCACTAACAGCAAGTCCGTTCAAGTACGGAGAAGCCAGTGCAGCATCGTACAGGCAGGCCTGACGTGCGACGACGTGTTTCGTTTGGAGTGTGGAGAGGGAAGGCGTGCCTAGGGTCAAGGGCATAGACTGAAACGAGGATACAATGCGGTAAAGCAGCAGAGCAATCACACCGTGAATCCCCTGGAATTTGCGAGGCGAGAAACGTGGCCTACCAAATCGTACGTGCGCCACCCTCTGCCATCGAAAGACGAAATACCCACATCATTTTGTCTGCACCCAACATGCATCAAGTTGCCAAAAACGCCTCAGAGTAAAGAGAGGTAACCCCGAAGCCGGTGACTTTGGAAAAAGCAGACGCCCAATAGATCGGGCAAACAACGACAAAGCTATGTAGCTCTTGCAAGACACGTGTCTACTATGCTCCTGCAGCACGCCGCGCCATTGCTCACAAGCCTAAACCCTCGATGCCGACACCACCCATCGAAGACCACCCGCTCTCCGCCCAAAGGAAGGGGAAAGCCGGGATCCTCAACGTTGCAGATGCACTCAAGACTCTTTTGTGTCTGCAATCCCCACCCCGTCCACTAACCTCCGACATGGTTCCGATGTACTGGATCTCGCAGCACTCGCACCAGCCTCCCCGGCGGGGCTTCTGCGAGCCGGCCGGCGGCATTCTCGCCGCAACTTTTGCCCCGACGCACTGAGCGTCCTTTTTCTTCACCTTGAGCACCTCGCGGTCCCACTGTTTTTATCACCCAAGCGCAGAGAGGAAGGGGGGGGAAACCACAGAGATCGGGTTCTGGGCTTGCTGGCATGGGGGATGCGTCCGCACGGTGCCACGGGAATCGAGGCATTATCGGAAACGAGCGAAACACTCAAAGGTAAGAGCGCCAGGCGAACGGTACCTTTGTACGGCAGTACCTTCCTCCAGAAGAACAATAACACTGTTGCTACTGTTGCTGCCAAGTTGTGCTGCGTCGTGCTTCCGCTTGCCTACGGCCACTCGAAGACTGCCTGGACTCCTACCACTGAGAGCACCACAGCTGCACGATCATGTATGTCTACATCTTCTGCGAACTTGCCTGCTCTCGAGGGGTGAACGGGCAGATTCCCGGCGGGGCGTCCGTGAGAAGAAAACACTTGCGCAAAAGCTCCGGGGGGAACGCCTGCATTCACAGGGGGAGGAGGAAAAACGACGGGGAGGAGGCGAGGAGGGCAATCAGGAGACAGCATCATACCAATAGGGTTAGGGTCATCCATCCCAGGCATGCGCCCACGCCGCGCAAGACCCAAAACCGCCCCGGGGTGTCGCTGTCCCGATGCTCACCTGCACCCGATCAGGCTCCAGTCCATCCAAGTCCTTGATCACGACCCGCGGGTGCTCCCGCGACTTGAACCTGCTCGCGCCCGCCGCCCGCTGCTGCCCACCACCCCTGCGGGAGATCAACGGGCGATCGGCTGCCTTCTTCCCCTCGCCCGCCACCGCCGCCCCTGCCGCCACCGTCACCCTCCCTCCTTCTCCTTTGCCGGCCCCCCGTTTGGACTCCTGCCGCCCGAGCCAGAGCCGGAAGGTCTGCCCGGTAACGACGGCCGCGCGGAGCTGTCGCGCTTGGTCCACGATGGACGTGTGCGCTTGTTGCCCCGGCCGTGCGCTGGACTCGGTTTGAGCCTGAGTGACCTGGGTTTTGGTACGTACGCGACACGGCGCCCCGGGGCCAACGATTCTTTGTCACGTGTGTGGTACGTGATTGGTCGAATCTTTCGGAACGACAAACAACGCAGCTTGCGCTCCAAGTATTTGTCCGCTTCGTCTTAATGGGAGACCTATGCTCTTTCCTGCCAAAGCGTTCGCGGTTTTTTCAAGTAGTGGATAAATCGGCTGCACAGGCCGCATTCCAAGGTGTGCGCTGCATGGTTGGTGCCATGCGTCATAAATGTCAACAACAACTCGTCGCAAAGGCCTAAAAAAAGCTGGACACGCCGTACTGCACTTGTTCCAGACCGCGCAAGGGTGGCTTGCCCCGGCCTGATTTCTGCTACTGCGATATCTCTTACCATTCGGTGGATTCGGCTTAGACGCTGGCCGCGCGACTGACCCACCCCGCCCGCCGCCCCCGGTGTCGCTGCACCTTCACTCGCTCCCCCGTCCCCCGCCGAGGGGGTTGTTGATGCCGCAACGCATATCGTCACCCCCTCGCCCAAGAAGCCTCTCGTCTTGAAGCCCAGTCGCTGGGCTCTTGACGACAGGCTGTCACACCCTTCAACGCGAGGATCTACGTAGAACGTGTCCTAGCACGCACGATTACAACGAGCGGAAGTGTGTGCACGAGGTTTGCATTACGGGCTGTAGCAAGGGGGTCGGGCCTTACGGTAAGCATCTACGGAGGATGAGTACGACAAGGCCCACGAGACGCTCGGTGGCAAGAAGGACAGTTTCATCGAAGATCGAAGATCGGATATTCTTCATGTTTGGGGTATACAATGTACACTGTACCACGTCTCCATTGATTTGTGTGGTGCTTAGAGAATGCTGTGCCTCCTCGATGTCTGGGCGTAGATATCTTAGCGAGCCTTTGAACGGGTTGACCGGTGACGAAGGACTTGAAACCAACGATGAAAACACTGACGGATGGCATGAGAATTTCACGTGGAAGGCAATTCTCCCGAAAACAGGACAGTCGATGAGCTGGGTTTCAACAGAGAACTAGCGGCCCCGACTTTAGCAATTGCGAGAGTGATCGTAAAACCCCAAGACCGATTTCCGTAGCTCTACTTTCCACAAACAAGAGGGCTAAAAAAAAACGGCCCGTGCGCGTAAGGAACGCTCGGCGAGATACTTTTTCTAAAGCAACCCTAACCCGATCCTAACCCGTTTCGGCAGTGGTGACCTCTCCGGTGCGGAGCAATCGAGCTATGGGAGTCGGTCTAGGGGGGTTGCGATCACTTCGCGTAGGTACGGACGGTGGTACGCATGAGCTCTATGTGCAGTCGAGATGTATATAAGGGGCCTCGGCAGACGAGCCTCCCTGTGTGGCCGCGGTCCTGCCTTACAACGGTGTGAAGGAGATTGGCAGGCAGTTGGTGGTACAGGGTACAGAGAGAAGAGACTTGATGATGGATTCAAAACCAAACATAAAAAAAACACCTGTATGCACAAGTGTTGCGAAGTAGAAGCACAATCACCAAGGCAGCTCTCTCGCACAAGGTGTACTTCGGGATGGCGTTTGGACGAAATTGGGGCTGCCAACAGCTGTGAGGGAAGAGGGCAGAGTTTTGCGTTTGGGTATTGTCCCATAATTCAACTATTTTGGGCCTCAGTCCACACCATTCGGTACATGTTTGGCGCACCAGCCGTGGCTACACAGCAGGAATTTCTTCCTTCTTTCACCTTTCCCACGGGTGCTGTCAAAATTTTAATTGTGCGCGACAAGTGTGCGAGCAAAGTACTTTCGGAAAAAGTTCGCAAACACTACATAGAAGCAGGTCTATGACCAACAGAATTGGTGTGCTCTGTAGTATGATAGACAAGTATATGTTTACAAGACCGCAGCTGAGTGCAGACAACTTGCACCAGTGATATACTCGTAGGTGAAAGGAGCCCCAAGCAGCAGGCAGACGACAGCAGTAAACCGGGTGCGCGAACTTCGGCAATGCAAACACATTGCCGTTGGTTGCTGTGCATGCTATATGGACCGATTTTTGAAGCTCGATTACTCCACGACGAAGAGGGATGCCAAAATCAAACGATGTCTTTTCGGGATGCTCTCGACGAGACGGTTCCAAAACCGCAATTTTCGACGACGCCACTGCTGTTATTGCTGCAGGCTTTGTCGGGTTTCCAAAATCGGTCCAGGGGTTTTGTGGAATTTGATGCAACTATATCGACCGGCAGTCTTGTCTACCACCAGTCGGCTCCAAGAATATCTGCTTGCCGTTGTAGCTTGAGAACGTGTGGAAATTCTTGACGGTGCCCGCTGGCTGACGAAAATGGCTTACGGCACGGACCGTGCATTGAGACCAACGTCCAAGATGCAACCTTCGTTGCCTGTGGCAAGTTTGAGGCTGTGCACGGAGTTTTCGCCGCCAAAAATACAAGCCGCCAAAAACGCGCGAGTTTCCATTCACTGACCTGCGTGGACAACCCTATAGCTTCCATCGAAACTTCCTTTCCCTCCGTTCCAACGTAGAGGGGATACCGCCTTGCTAAGCGCACAGCGAAGAGGTGTGCTGCCTCTCTGTGAGCTGCTGATGTACAATGTACACCCACATTTGGTCCTTGTTTCGAGATTTTGAAAAGTGGACATGGATGGCGTTCTTGGTTTGGTACATGTACAGTAGTGAACCGCAACAAGTTGGACCGCGCAAACCTGGATCTGCTGAGCTGTTCTCGTCGCTCCTCGCAAACCGCTCGCCTTTGCATACTTTGTACTTGTAGTCCGCGGTCACCCTCGGCTCTCGCAGTCTCTCTACAACTCCACAACCCACACCACACACTTGCACTGCGGTGGTGGGAAGCGATTGTTTCGTTCAAGTGCACTCAACAAGACGAGGCAACGGGCTGCCGCACCCTGCCCTCACTCGCGGTCAATATCGAAGACAACGAAGACAGGCAGGGGGCGGTGGGACAATGACGTGCCATCTGTGTGATCTTGTCATCCCGACTGATGGTGCAATTGGAATGGCGTAGACTATTCGCCAGAAGAGATGGGACGAATGAAAAAAACAGACCCACAAACTGGAAGGACTTCTTCAAGGCGCCCCCGAAAACTATGTTGACGCGTAGGAAGGCGCATGGTATCTGCGATCTTTCGTTGATGATGCGTTCGATTGTTCCTTCGAAAAAAAAAGTGGTCGCACCAACGCAGAATCTGAGCGTCCCTCTCACTTCAGGTGGGCATAAGTTTCACCCTCGAACCCATGGAACGTGGATGAAAGGTTGAGGCGTCGATATCTCTAGCTCGGCACCTTCGGGTTAAAATATCGCCGTCGAACAGGGCGCTAAAAATCTACGCGAAGCGGGACAATGGTGCAGAGGTTGACCGCCACCACCCACCCATGTGACACCTCCTGCAATGTGCCCGCACCCTGTCTTTAGGTGGACAAGTACTTGCTGCCGCTGACCCTGCCAAAAATAAATAAATCAAATCGATTCGTCTACCCATGGCGACATCACGAAGTAGGCAACACCATGACTCTGTCGCCGATAGAACCAAATCCCTGACAACCTGATGACGGTTTGGACAGCCTGTTTATCGCGGATCGTCCAACTCCAACCGGCCAACATACCAAAAATGACATGGACGCCTCCGGTTGATATCTAAAGTGAAAAAATACAGACCAACTCATCGGATAGGTCTGTACAAACAATACCCGTGACCCCTCCCGGCATAAAAATTGTGTGGTGCGCTACAGTCACAAACAATATCTCCGGCAGCATGGCCGTGTCCACCTGCCGAGAACATCAGTACAGAAAGGCGACATCCACGTTGCAGCAGCTCGATCGTGCGAGGAAAGAAAATGCACCCAACTTCCGAGCTTGAAAATCGGAAGGAACATTTGCCACGCACGTGGGCACACTTCACAGACACGCCGCTCGTGCTATGGTAACCTGTCTGGACGGACGGGCAGATAAGGCCCGTCCGCTGTACTTACCTATCTCCATCGGATACACCATTCAGTATCCATTCTAGATTCAGGCCCACCCTATGGCTAGCCCTCTCGACAAAGGCCCGCTTTCCCCACCCCGATGACGCCCCACGCCATTCTAAACCCCCCCACAAAAAAACACCCTTTCCCTCAAAGGGTCCATTAACATCGGGAATCACAATCACAGTTCCCCCTTGAACAGGCCCAACACGCTGTCCTTGACGCCGTCAAGCGCCTCCAGCGGGTTCTCCCCGTCCTTCGCCTTCATCGCGGCGAAACCGACGACAAAGGCCAGGAGGAAGTACTTCAACAGCGACAGCAACCCCACCAGGAGGTACGCCAGGACTGACGCGGTCCCGATCGAGTCGATCGTGTATGCCATGCGCCACACGCCGCCGTGGAACGACCCGAAAGAGAAGAGCTGAAGGGGGTTCTTGAGCGGGAGCGTGGGGTTGGAAGGGGTGGCGGGGTCGGCCACGTCGCGCAGCAGCAGCGCCCCCATGACCGCGTTTGACGTCTCCTGCTGGAACACCTGCGGGCGCGTGGGGGGAGGGAGGGAGCGGGATCTGGTGAGAAACGTTCCGGATATGTAGCCAAACAAACGGTCTGCACCATACCCTGTGTGCCCCCCCTGTAACAGCTTGGCCTGCAGAGAAGCAGCGCTACCTCTCTCCCGTGGCAATACTCACCTCCATGGGCTGGAAGAAGTGCATGCCTCCGTAGGCCATCGCGAAGAGCCTGTTGGACACGACCGAGGCCGTCGCCGTCGACGGAGCGATGTTGCTCGACACCTTGCACCGGTACTCCTGCCTCGCCACCACCGCCCGCCAGTGCTGCATCCGCTTGGCCAGCGCGTAGTTGGGCCCCTGCTTGTTCACGAGCCCATCCACGAGGTACAAGCTGCCGCCGTCCGCGCCCACTACCGCGGGCTTCACGTTGGACGTCAGGGTCATCGCCAGGTTGCCTGTGAGCTTGCAGAGGAGGTTCACGAGACCCAGAGATCGGGCCTGGCTAGCGGCGGCGTCGTGGGCCGCCGACGGGATGACGTGGACGTCCGTCGGCGTGCAAAGGTATGCCGGCTGGGAGGGAGGGCATTTGGGGGGGGAAGGACAGACGCGGGGCGCGAAAGGGGACCATAAGCACGCGTCGCGAACGGTTGTTACATGGAACGCGCGCCCGGGCGGGGCGAAGGCTCATTTGGTCGCTTCACAACCTTACGGCAATGGGACCGTTGATCACAAAAAAGTGTCAACGGTGGTATGCATGGATAGAGAGACATTTCTGAGCGTATTGGTTGGAAGCTCTCGGTTGTTGACGACCCAACCAGTTCTCAAGCACGGTCGCCACTTCTACCTTCACCGCCTCAGGACCACCAGCCAACGAAAAGCCTTGGGTAGATACTGCAGGTAGCAGCGGGGCCCTTCACTGAATAGTGCCACTGTCCGTACTACATGCCGGTGACATCGCACTACAATTATGGGATATTCAAGTTGCCTCCTTCTCTGAATAATGCTGGCGACTCTGGCGGGCACATACCGGCACTATTCAGGCACCACCACCGCTGTACCGATATCGCAACCGTGTTCTTTACAACCGCTCACCATCACGTCGCGCCGTGACTCCGTCAGCCCCTTCACGATCGCGTCCATGGCGAGAGACAGCCGAACGTGCAGCTCGCCGTCCAGATAGGCGTAAGAACCCACTACCAGCGGCTTTTCTGGGCTGACCGTCTTCAGCCTTTGGATGAAAAGGCACAAAAGTCATCGGTCGGGTTGAGGGGGGGGTCTGGTCGCGCCAGGGTGTTCTTTGGGCACAGAACTAAAATGGGGTGGTTTACGGTGTGTGCAGTGTCACCCCTTCCGTTTTACATATAGCGAAGCAATGACAGGAGAATACCATGCTGTCTGAGAGGACGGGTGCGACAAGAAGTGCATGTTCACCGGCATCACCCAAGGCGAATTTACCACACAACCACAGCGTCTGCACATCGGTTGTATCCGCCCAAGCTCTGTACATTACTCTCCCGTATCCCCATCTTTCTCCTATCCCCCCCGCCAACGCCCCCGTGCTTTCTCTTCTTGGGTCTCCCCCCGTCTTCCGCTGCCCCCTCACCAGTTCAAAATCTCCGGGGTGTGCGCCAGGAGGTTAGCCCCGGCCGCCGCGCACAGCTCCTCCCTGCTAGAGAGAGACGCCTGCGGCTTCCCCGCCTTGAGCGGGAAGATCATCGTCCCGCACGAGTTTTCCGCCAGGCCTAGCAACCGCTGCCAGATCCCGGGGCGATCCAAGTCGATCGCCACGATGTTGGCGCCGAGCTCCAGCAGCAGCTTCAGCGGACCCATGGCCGAGCCCGCGCCGAGAAGAACGAAATACCTGTCGCTTAGGTCCCTCCACTCCCCCTTCTGGGAGACGTCCTTGATGGCGGCCCCCGCGCTGGGCTCGATGGTGCCATAGGAGACCCACTTGTCCACCTGGTCTTCGAGGGCATTTCCCGTCAGGATCTCATCTTTGTAGGGCACCTGTGGGGGGGTGGGGGAGCGTTGAACAGGCACAAGGGGAGAGCAGAGATGCGTGAGCGCCGAAATGGTGTTGCGTTGCTTGAGAATACAGGCGCCGTCCCGAAGGCCTGCTTGCCCAACGTCGTCAGCGTGCTGTAACCTTGCTGCGGTCGGGGTAGGTGTCAGGGTGTGGCAATGGCGTGGTCTTGTGTTGCTGCTGATCCTTTGTGCCGTTTCATACCCGGATTAAACAATCTCCGGCATGTGCAAAAAAATGCCAATGAAAAGCAGAGGCTGCTGTTCTACCGCCGGATCTGCTTTCAAAAATATCTCAACAGCAGTACCCAAGAGTGTGTCCTGTGTATGGTGTTGTTAAGCCCGCGTGCTCAACTATTTGTTCAGACATGGCCACAGTACACGTACTAAATCCGTTTCTTGGGGTGCACAAGCTTGACAATGCGCTGCATCTCGCCGTCGATATCTGGATCCTCCACCTCCCCGCAATGTCGTGCGTGTGTACGTCCACCACAGCCACCATGACCAATCATGCTCCTCGGTTGGATCCAGTGCGACATCCGGAAGATTGTGCGCTACTCTCCACCGCGGCGCACGGCATGGTGCGTTGATGTGTACGGTGCGGCCCGCGGTGTGTGCTTCTCTTTACGCGTGCATGAAAGACTGCGAGATCTCCGCAAAACATAGAATCTATGACCGATATTGCTATGCATAGCTGAAAAAAGCTCAAAAAGTTGCTGTCGTGGGGGCGACCCGATCGTTCGACTGTTACAACCCGCGGTGGATCGGTGCCACGAGGTATTGTAACCCCTACACATGGGATGTCGCCAAACAGGGAGTCGCTACATCGGGGTCAATCCTGTGTTTGTGTTCAGCGTTTATTGATGCCACTATAAAACAGCAGTCGCTCCCTCAAAGTTTATGCACTTGGTATTGCTTTTCCCTCTGCTCGAAAGGTACACATGGGACCCATGGAAATGTGAACTGCGGCTCGAAAAGCGGGGTAACGGCAAATCGGCCGCGATCCCTCCGACGGCATGACGGCATCCATGTTTTTTATGTGATGGTGGCGATTGACGTGAGGGGTAGGGGAGTTGCGTACGCTACTCTCTGGGATGAAAGACAGACGTACAATGCCCCAGGCGAGTGGATGGGTATGTGGCCTGGGGTACTGTACAACGGTTCGGGTGCGGCAAGACGTATCGAGGGCGAGTATGCACTTGCCGAGCGTTCGAACGATTAATCCTCTTGTCCCATACAGCCAAGTGTCAACGAGCGAAGAGAGCCACACCAGTGAACAAAGCGATTTCCTCGAGAGGGGGAGGCATACATTGCCTGCGCACGAACTCCCGTTGAGTACATGCACGTCGACCCGCACTGGGACCGCACACTGCACCACGCCCGAAATACCGTGAAGTGCCTTCGAGCGAAGCGAGTTACGATGACACACTCGCATTAACTCCACACCCACCCATTATATCAACAACACACCAAACCAGTCTATGCATTTTTTTGTGATGGTGGCGATGCAGAACAGAAGCAGGTGTCTTGTGTCGCTCGTTCTCCCGCAGACAGACGTGCATACCAGTCTAGCTCACGGTTACTGCTGTACGATGTATGTACAATTGATGAAGTCTCGAGGAATGGGTGTTGGGCGCTCTCTTCAATAGATCCGAATCTCTCCGCGCGTTATCATCCTCCACATCATCATCGATCGATGCACTTCTGCTGAACATACATGCACACGCGACTGGTCAACACCCAACCAAACAGCCTAATCTTCAATGAGCATCGAACATGGATACTCCCTGTGTTGCTTCCTCTAATCAAGTGCATTGAGGTGAAAGAAGATCTATCAGGAGCAGGGATTTTTCTTGGATTGCCCGCTTATGGCGCATTCGAGTGCAAGAGACCTATTTGAAATATCCTTGGACGCGAAAAGGATTGCGAAAGCAACACATGAGCGCTCTCCTCTGGGACGCAGCAGCAGCAGCCGACATTTCCAATGAAGATCAGCCCAGCAGCCGCTACTTGTACAAGCAGTGGCGTCTGCAACATGCATGCGGACGCACGCCCCCAACGTTACAAAAGTTGCCAGCAGCAGTTGTAGCAGCAGTCGTATGCAACTCATCGCGCCCAACACACACACACGGCATCGCACCTGCAACACTGTCTCCGTGGGCTTGGGCTTGGTGCCCTTGATGACGGCGGTCTCGAAGGACCCCGTGATGCTCGACATGGCCGCGGCGAGCTTCATGCTCTTGCCCTCCCGCACGAACTCGAAGTTGTTGTGCACCCACTCCAGGCCCGCCTTGCTGCTGGCCACGGCCGCCTCCTTGCTCTGCAGGCACGCCTCCACGTGCTTGTACACGTACTTGGTGTACTTCTGCCGCCAGTTGCGCTCGTCCAGAACCCTCTGCGCCAGCGCGGGGTCCACAGCACCGATCGCCGCTGCCAGCGCCTGCTTGTTCGCCCACGTGGTACTGCGGTCGCCGGCTTTCTTGGAGTTCGGCACGAGCGGCCACACCAGGCCGTCCAGCGGACGCGAAGACGGCGGCATAGTTATGGATGAGTTTTATCCGACGTGGTTGCTCTGCCCTGCTCACTACTGCTGAGGTCTTTGTGATTGCCTCGAAATGTGCGCGCACACACCAGCATCCCGGGATCTCCGGTCTCCTCGAGGGGGGCCTGTGAACGATACATCCACACTAGTACCCATCGGATATTGTCGATTGATACAGCGGGGACCCCTTGGCTGGCATCTGCGTTCAATGGTATATGACCATTGTCTGCGTTGTGGCGGCACCACACTCAAGAACACACCAGCCAGACACAAGAAGAAGACAGCAAACAAACAGCACTACAATGTCTTCAGCTGCAGCTGGGGGCTCGCGTGCCCTTCACTGGGTAAGATGGTTTGATTTGTAGTGTGTATACGCCCCCCCCTGACAGCAACAATCGGCGCTGCTTGCTGTGGAATCGGTCCGCACGTCCTGCGGCTTGTGTCACCTCATCATGTTCACGTGTTTCTCGAGCCTCCCTGGCGGGAGTGTCTAGAGCAATACCTGATCAAGCCATTTGAAGGGACGACTACGCTCGTTAAGATGCCGGTTGAGTCCTCACGACTGATATATCGCTGAGTTTCCTGCACTTCGATGGCAGCAGCAGCGCTCTCCTCCTGGTCAATATCTTTCTCGGATTTGACGACAAAAGCGTGACTCCACTTGTAGCAAGAGTTGCGGTGGTGGTGCTGCTGCGACAACGGCTGCCCACGTGTGATGCGGCCAAGCAAAGCAGCGCGTTCTTGGTGGTTATAGCCCTCTGCTTCCCTCGGGGTTTAACTGTTACCGGACGCTGATGGTGCTTGTCGGATCATGCCTACGGCTCGCAACTGCTAACATCCACTAGAGGTGACGGCATAGAAGAACAGCCCGCGTACCGTGCGTGTCTTTCGTGTTGCTGTTGTCTTCCGGCACCCGTCTAAAGGTGACAGCAGACAGCCCGCGTGCCACTTGCTGTGTTGTTGTTGACTTGCTGCACCCGCCGCGGTGTAGCTCTGTCGCGGTATATTGTGCGCTCGGAATCTATTTGCCACGGTAGATGACTAGCCTCGATAAGGCAGATCACGCTGCTAAAGATGTGACCATTCCAATAGAGCGACCGAGTCATTATACAACATTCAGAACGCAGAACTCGAAAAGTTGTTGCGTGTTGGCTCCGAATACAAAACTCCGTGATGCTTCTCTTTACCCACCACCACACCCATAAACAGCCCTCAGTTTCCAAACTTGGTGCTGTTCTGTTGTTTGCCAACGCTACATACGCCCAAGTGCTAATTGATTTCATCCGACGGTTCCGCTACTCTCGATGTTAATCGAAATGCCTCGATGTAAATTAGAATGCCAGTGTCCGTCCTTCAGGCAGCAGTAGAGAAAGAACCCTGCTGTCAACACCAGCGCGGCTTACAGTACGACACGGACGGCGCTGCTGAACCGTTTCAGACCGTGGCCCCAACTATGCGTGCACGTGTAACCCTGTTGTATGCATAGTCTACAAGCGTGACCGCGGGACACCTACCATGTAGCAGCGGTGGTGTATTGCGGGACACGTGTGCGCGTGAGTGTGTGGTCCAACCATTCGCGCCTGGCCCTACAGTAGTAGTCCCCCCGCATTTCTCGTTTAAAGCGAAAGAGATGATTTTGTTGTGTCACAGCATGCATACGAAAAATAGGAAGGCGAGTAGCACCAATTTCGCCCTCAAACCATTCCCACACCCCTTCACCGCAACCCCCCCCCCCCCCGCCCTGCGCGCGCTTGCATCCCCCCTACATAACACAGGTACTCAAGATCGGAAGCTTGAAGAAGTCCATGACGTTCTTCGAGAACGTTCTCGGCCTGAAGGTGCTTCGGCACGAGGAGTTCGATGAGGGCTGCGAGGCCACCTGTAACGGCCCCTACGGCGGTACGTTTGCCTTCGTCGCTCTCACTGCCTCGGAAAAATCCACCGTACTAGCGCCAAGTCAATTTCTTCAATCTGCGCACTGCTGTGATTGCAACAAGCGCTCAATCACACCGTGGAAGGAGTAGCCCCAGCTTCCGCTCAGAGCGTCTCGATTGTTTCCGAAAAGCGAACATTGTCCGGGTGGGACGGGGCTTCTACTAGTGTTCCTGGTTTGAAGCAATTTCGGGTTGGTGATGACATCTCTCGTGTTGGAATCCTTTTATGTAGTCGGCCTCAACAGTCAGTACGGTATTCCTTCGCCATTTCTGCGTTCCCGAGACGGACAGGAATAGAGACGGAGATGAGAAAGCCGAACCTCCGCAGTCGTTTTATTCCCAACCATGAATACAAATGGAGATAGATCCGGAACTGGTTTAATTCCCCACCATTTGACACTTATCTCGCCGCCGACAAAGACCAACATCAGCCTTACTAAAACCAAGGTAAAAATAAGTCCTCCAACCGTTTCATATTTGATTGCTGCCACTGCCGTCGCCGTGCACGCGCGCATGCAGGGGCGTGGTCCAAGACGATGATCGGGTACGGACCGGAGGAGGAGGGCTTCGCCCTGGAGCTCACGTACAACTACGGCATCGACGGCTACAAGAACGGGGACGACCTGCAGTACATCTGCCTGCAGCTGGACGTGGAGGCGACCAAGGCTAAGGCGGAGGCCGAGGGTAGGTAGACAGCGCGCGTGTTGGCGTGTACACCACCGAGATATGGAAGATATCTCTTACTTTATGTAAGCCACCGAAGTATGGAAGATGTCCATGAATGGGGTGCGTTTGTTAGAACGGGACTATAATACTGCGGTGTTGGTGCAAAGAGGGCGGGAGAGACCGGGAGGGGGGGGGGTGTACGACCGGGAGGGGGGGGGGGTCTATCGCTTGTTGCTTCCCTAGGTCGTGTTTGGCCTTGGGTTTGTCTTCAGTGGCCACGCTTTCGTAAGTTGGGGCACCGCGGTGATGGTGGAGCAAGAGCGGGCGAGGCTAAGATATTGCCTGAGCGTGAGCCGGGGTAGACGTCGAGTGTGATTTGAGGCTCGTCCTCATGGCACGGATATGTTGGTATCGCCTCTCCACCTGCGTCGTCTTGTCTGAGATAAGGTGCTAAGGTTAGTCACGCTTCGAATTGCTCGCATAAAATTGACCCATCAACTCGAAAGGTTGGCAACGGTAAGCAGTTATTGCAATGTTGGGCTAAAACTATGAAACCAAGTTGGATGAAGCATACCCATACGGGAAAAGCGAAAGATAGGTGTCTTTTGGCTGGAAGAGACATATTCCTGTGGTAAAAGTATTAGTATTGTTCAGGAAACTTGCGAGCCAACCTCGAACGATGGGCGGAAAGGGGCGCAGTGACCAGGAAGGATAGGTAGCTGAGGGGGGCGGAACCAACAAATGACCTGCTACCCATACGCCAATCCAACCATGCACCGACTCTACCCAATCTTACACACAATATTTCACCAACGCACCAATAAAAACGAAACCGAAATGCGAAGGTTACGCCTGCGCGGCGGCCAGCGGCGGAGGCGTTCTCATCTCCGGGCCGGACGGTTACAAGTACAAGGCGATCCCTTCCATCGAGGGGAGGAAGGAGCGGTTCGTTTCGGTGGGGCTGAAGGTGTCGGACCTGCCGGCGTCCACGGCGTACTGGTGCGATCTGCTCGGCATGTCCAAGTTCTCGGCGCCGGCGCCCGTGAGCGAGCCGGGGGATGGTGTGGGCTTGTTGAGCGAGACTGTGGGCTACGGCGAGGAGCAGGTGACAGCACGTAGACTATATTTTGGTGTGTTTTTTTTTGCTGGCGTTTGACCCATGTTTATGGTCGCCAAATCTTTGAAAAAAATCTTCAAATGTTGTCAAACACTTGCGCGCGAATATCTGCCAGAGGAACATTTGAGTACCGTTTTTATGGGCAAAAAAATCTTTATCGTGTGGTTTTCTCGAAATGCATCGCACGTGCGGCGGGAATCGTGGTCTACTGCTACCAAACGATTTGTGACAGACAAACCACAAATGCGTCATGGAAACTGAATGTAACGAGCTCGCAAAGGGCTCCCCACAACCCTTGATGCACTGAGCTGATGCTGTGCCCGCCAATATGTGGCGATAGCGCTCCGGGCGTGCGAGAAAAAATGTTCTCGGTGTCAAGAAGAGACCAAAACGTGCGTCAGCGCTTCCCAACGGCAAAAAGTCGGCCGCTTGAGAGGACACGTGAGTACAAAACTATCCAGCTCTCGTCCTCTAGACCATCGATTCATGTTTTGTCTTCTTGGGTGTCTTCTCCATCAACGACTCTCATCCGGTTGTGCGTGGGTTGGCAGTGGCCGCGCTCAGCCGGCAGGGAGGCACATCTTTGTGCTCGCAAAGTTGTGGACACAACGTTTTTTTCGGTCTATTTTTTCACTTGAATATAGAGGGCTTGTTCCTCCGTCCCAAAAAAGACTTTTTCAACACATCGAATTCACAGCGACGCGCCTCCCTGCCTGTTGAGTACGTCCACTGCTGAACCACGCACACCCGGATGAGAGCCGTTGATGGAGAAGACACCCAAGAAAAAAAAACATGAATCGATGGTCTAGAGGACGAGAGCTGGATAGTTTTGTACTCACCTCTCCTCTCAAGCAGCCGACTTTTTGCCATTCGGAGACACAAACCACGCTTTCTCCGTGCCCTCCAAACCACCCCTGTCTGTTTGTTTTTTTGTGCACGCTTGACGAGCTCCCGCCATGTATCAGCCGGCAAAACATTGACACGGTGACTCTAGGGTTGTCCGGATCCCTCTCTGAGCTTGCTACGTTGAGTGTGCGCTGCGCAGTGGTTGGTGTTTAGGACGGAAGGGGCTGTCGGCTACTAATCTCGCCGCTCTTGGGAAACATTTTCGCGACCTGCCCCATTTCAAAATGTTTGAGAATATTTTGCCGAAGATTTTCTCCCATAAACAGTGAAACAAAATGTTCATCCGCAAATGTTTGAAAATATAAACATTTTCGCAAAGATTTGGCGACCATAAACATGGGTCTTCGGACGATTTTTTTTGTGTCCTTTTCATTTTTACGTTTGTTTGGTTTCTAGATATGTGTACCCTTCCTTTGTGTTTTTTAGTGCTAGCGCTTGGAGGACTCTCTCTGGGTCCTTCCTATTGTACGTTTATTTGATTTTAGGAGAGGTTGTAGGGTATAGTTAGTATGTGACCACGGAAGGGGCCCGCATGAGTTGGGTAAGTACAGATGTCAGAAGGTACTGAGCGGAGACCGGAACGGTTTTTAATGTGAAGACAGTAACCATCCGTGTTTTGCGGTTGTACTCGCGTTGCAGATTTTTATGTTATCTCCAGCAGAAGCTTCGTTTGGAGCCCTGTCTTGGCAGACGACAACTACCTGATTGTCTCTTCAGTTCCCACCCACCCCCCGGCGCCCCCTTTTCCGTTTTGTTTGTCAATGCGGTGATCCTCATTAAAAAGCGAGCACCACATTGTTGTGTTGGCCCCAAAGTTTACTCACTTCTGCCTTGCCGGGACCGCGTCGAACGAAACGGTGCATGTCGGTGACTACCTATCCCAACCCCTTCGACCCTGCAGCGCCGCTCCCGTGCCTCTCACCGTAATATACCGACCCCCCCCCCCCCCTTTTCCGCCCGCCGACCGCCGACCGCCGACTCTGAGCTTAGGTCAAGCTCGATTTGCTGCAGGCTCCGGGCGCGGAGAAGACTCCGATTGACCACGGGTTGGCCTCTGGCCGCATCGCGTTCGCGTGCGACCTCGTGCCCCCCATCCACTCGGAAGCGGCGGCCGCGGCCAGCGGCACCGTGATCACGCCGCCCTTGACCCTGCCCACCCCCGGGAAGGCGGACGTGGTGGTCACCATCCTCGGCGACCCCGGTGAGAGAGGGGACCGCCTTCGCGAGGGTTTTGTTATCAATCTATGAAAGAGGGGGGGTCGTAGCCCTATGCATGATAGAAGGTTTTTAAGTGGTAGTGCGGAATGTACTTGTGTGCCGGGTGTCTGTTTTGAGGCCGGCTAAATGCATTATGCAGTTTTGCCACGGACGGTACACACATGCGCAGGGTGTGTCGATTGCACTCTTTCGGTTCCATTTCTACTTGGGGGCGAAGACAAATTTGAACAATCTCTGCTGTCATCTTCTGCGTGATTTCTTCAGGCGATGTGAACGCGCCCTGAGTAGTACTCCGCCCAAAGTATTTTTCGAGTTGTTCAATAAACCACTCCTTTGCTCCACATTTACACATCGAGTGTACTTTGGATCAGGAGGCTCGACCTCTCTGTCCAGTGGACCTCTCTGTCGAGTTTCCTCCGCCCCGTCCCCTATCAGGGGACCCCGCGGACTAGAGTATATGTTTTTGCGTTTGTAGTCCCTGTAAAGCTGGCACATTTGCACTGATCGGCCAATATGCAAGCGCGGCTTGATGCGAATACAAAGACACATCCAGTCGGTGGCGACACGAAGCCTTCCCAACCCCTTTTCATTTTTTCTCTTTCAGTGAACGTTGAACGGAGGTTTTGGCATTTGGCAGGTTGTTCTTTCAAATCTCGCAGCACTCTTACACACCCACCATCCCTCCTGTGCATGCAACTAACCCCGCTCGAAAACATACGCATGGTCCCTGCAGACGGCTACGAGATCTGCTTCGTGGAAGCCGTCGCCTTCTACCAGCTGGCGGAGCCCAAGTACGACGTCATCGACTTCGAGTCCAGGGCCACAAGGGGCGGGGACGGCGCCGCCCCCCCCAAGAGCGAGAAGCTGCAGCACGCCGCCGGCGTTACCGCAGCGGTGACGACGCCGGAGGAGGTGGCCGAGGCGGTCGCCGCGGCGTCCGGCGACGGACTGGTCTTGTTGGACTTTGGCGCGGGGTGAGTGAACACAGCAGTGTCGTGCGTGGAAACGTGTTGTGGAGAGCTACTATACTACTCTACTCACCCGTTCCGGTGCCTCACAAGGTTTGTTTTGTTTGGCTTTTTCGGTAGGCCGGAGTCTTGTGCGTGTGTGTGTGTTTTGCGGTATTTATTGGAGCGTCGAATATGATGACGGTGGCCGAGGCGCTTGCGAGGAGGGGGGCGGGATGATGAGGCGCGATAGAATCGGTCTCGATGTCGATGTTGTAGGTTTGTAGACAAAAGCAGCAGGCTTGTCTCGGTTGGTTTGGTAAGACTGTTTGCTGCGCGGTTTTCAAGGTCGCAATCACCACGTCTAAAGAGTCGCCGGGGGCCAAAAGGAGAGCGATAGATTATATCTGCGGCAGGGTTGTGATGAATAGGTATGATCATGACATGAACTGGACATATTCGGTCCTCTGCTTTCTGCCTGTTGAGTTGATATGACCCGTTCGTCGCTCGCCTTGGTTCCGGCCGAACGATTTACCGCGGTTGCCAACCCTCCTCTCCCAGATTTTGTACGCCCGTACACAGCGGTGGAAATAGCCACAATCCAAGAAAGATACAGCCCCCGCCCCGAGTTTGTTAGTGTTTGAGCATCCTTTCCCCCGAGGTGTTCACGCCCGATGAGGTCGACGCCTCTCACGCACACCGTCTCCTAGACTGTTGGCTGGTGAGTCTTATGAAATTACCGCCGCCGACACGAACGATCTCGCGGGGGGGCCTTGGCTAATCCCCCCCCCCCCTTGGCCTCTCCTTGCCCAGCTGGTGCAAGAACTGCAAGAAGATGGTGCCGGCCATCGAAAAGCTGGCCACGGGGCCCCTCGGGGAAAAGCTCAAGGTGCTGACGGTGGACATCGACGAGGCGGACGAGCTCGCGGACGAGTACGACGTGAGCGGCGTGCCGACCTTCGTGGCGCTGAGGGGCGGCAGGGGCGACAAGGCCGACGAGTACAAGGGCAACGATCCCGCCGCGTTGGAGGCCAAGATCTCGGCGTTGCTCGGGTAGTCGGATATATGGGTCCTCGAGGTTGTTGTGTGCTTTTCGTTGGCCGGCCACGGCAGCAGCCTGTCTCCTCGTTCCTCTGTGAGCGTAGCACTGCAGAGGGTGGTTGAAAACCCGTTCCTCTGGTGGTTGTATCGTTCTATGATCAAGTCATTTTCGGCGGTGCATGGAAGTCGGGCTTGGTTCTTGTCGGTGAGTCAAGCTTTCCGCGTGGTGCGGGAGGTCTGGTGCTGGGTACGCACCGGAAGAAATTTTGCGAATTCCGTGACGGTGCCACCCCCGCCCCTCCCCACCCCTCCCTCAATCCCGTCGTCGTCGGGAATGCCGAGCACTCTAGCTACCATTTCTGCGATTTTGGCGGGTCCATGCTCCAGCACCTTCAAGTGTAAGCTAGGTTGATTCGGAGGCGGGGTTATCCAAGTTCGCTTGGCATCGTTTTTCAAGGTTTCCCTGTAGACGAAAGGTAGGTGGCGACCGAATCTGACGGTTGTTTTGGAGGGTGGCGTGGAGTGAATCGGCGTATTCGTGTGGTTTTTACTGTTTGCTGTTTGGTTCTGCAAATTTTGGTAAGGCCGTGTACACGTGGCAGGCGTGGGTAGGAGACCTAGATCCTGCCATACTTTCGTGGCTTTTGGTAGACGCGTGTGTGTTTGGTCTGTAATTTTGTTATTGTTACCCCTGAGGCTTGTGGGATTGAAAAGTTTTGTCACGGAGGTCAGTAGTACCGGTTCCTCCGAGGCACCGGTAGCTTACGTCTTCCCCTGAAAGTGTCGTGTACTTTAGATGTGTTCGTACAATTGCTTCATGGAGTATTGCTTCGCCCGAGGACGTCTTAGCCAAAAATATCACCTGAACAAGCCCTCCCTGTGGTGGTTGATTCTACGGAAAACCATGGACCATGGGTTCATGGTGTTATTGAAAGCAAGCCGACGAATATCGTCGGCGTTGCTAGTCCCAAGCTGGCTTTATTTTTTTGCTCATAGTTTCAGCTTGAGAATGGAAGGAAAACCATGGACCATTGGTTTATGGTGTGTATTGGCCGGTGCGTACCGGATTGATTGGCTACCTCCGAAGTCGACCCGAAAAAATGTTACACATGAGTTGTCTTATTGCTGACGAACCGACTCTCTCTCTCTCTCTCTCTCTCTCTCTCTTTGCCTCTTGGGCTCTTGGCTCCCTCTCATTGGGCCTCTGGACGGAGCGACAAACATCCGCCTTGAGGCCATCCTCCTCCTCTGCCCCCGTGACTCTTCAGCAGTTGCATGATGAAAGGTGTTGTGAAGTGGGCAAGTTTCGCAGTGTGACGCGTCTGCAGAGCTAACTCGTGCTTTGTGTGGAGAGAGGGGGGTGCGAAGAGCCACTTACTGATTCTGCTGTTACGCGCGCCATCTGAGCGTGTAACTGAAAAGCCCGATCGAGAAGGTTTGCTCACTGCAGAAACCGGCGGGGAAGATGACAGCTTCAGGGAAAAGGAGCAATGCCGCCGCGGAAAACGAACGAAACTGCTAAGGGCACGCCTTTCCCATTTGCCCGCACGCGAAAAAATGGTACCACTGCTGTTGTGCGGTAGGAATGAGCCTCAAGGTCTTGCCATACGTCGGGCACACAAACGCGGCAACCTAAAGCGCAAGGAAGATTTCCTGTCGAACAGGCATGCATCTAGAACCTTCTTTTTGTTGAGCTTGCCAAGAGCTGTATCGCATCAACCTATCTATGCAAAGCAAAATCACACGCACTCCCAACTCTCCGTAACCCCTTTGCGCCGGTGTGCCAAGTCTCTCCACCATCCACAAAGCAAACACGGCAGACAGGTACGGAGCACCGTACGTGTTGCGGAGTCTCTACAAGTACACCAACAATGTAAACGGTGCTGCACCTCGAAGGAGACGAGTGGCCTACTGTCAAAAATGCGAAAGAAAGCAGCAAGCGAGCCCACACCTCAATGGCTACATGTATGTGTAGGCGCGTCTCGCCTGCCCTGCTACAAAATAGACAATGAGAGCATGGGCGCTCTTCTACCGGAAAGCTCTGGGCCAGGGCCCTGGTCAAACGCTGCCCGGCGCGGCCGGAGCAACCAGTGCTCGTAAAGTGCGGGGGAATGCAAGCTCTTCATGCCCGCCACTTCAAAAACTAAGTACCGCCCGCGATTTTGGTTCCCATGGCACCCTGGGACCTTCGGTTATGGACATCATTCGACGTCGCAAAAAAACAACCGCTCGAATGCGCACACATGATGGCTGCACACCCAGTGCCTCCTCACAACATGGCATCTTCTCCCTCGACTTTGACCACTATTGTGCTCTACAAAAACTCGCAACCACTATGTATTGCACTGCTCTCTCTTTGCACCGGAGTAACACTACGCCAATCTTGCAGCACCCCACAAACCCGACCTCAGCACCTCTCTCTACCGAGAGACCACGGCAGCAGTACACGCGATCGGTAGTTGAAACAGGATTCGCTACCCCCAATGGGGGGGCAGAAGGACGTTGCTTTCACACCCCCGCTTGCATCTTGTCATGCCAAAGCACATTTTTTGGGGGTGGGTGAAGGGGATGACAAAACCAAGGTCCCCGCCCCACCGCGTGGAATCAGTGGGGCTTGCAGACAAAAACAACTTCGCATGCTCCCACGAAACGCCGTGTTTGCTAACGTACGTACCTAATTTTTTGTATCTAAACGTGTCCACCCGCGCGATGTTGATGCTTCTTTCTATTCCGATGTGCGGGGCGCACCGATCATGCCCTGCGCCTTCGTCTTTGCACAGGTCTGGCGGCACTCGGGGATGCACTCTTGCCTTGAGCGCGACTGCTCCTTCGACTTGGTGCAGAAATAGATGCACTGCGTATCATCCGTGGGTGTCGGGGGGGGGGCAGGGGCGTGTGTGCGAGGACGTTTAATGGCGGGCGGGGGGTCGGGTTCGACTATACCACAGGAGGCGGTGCCAGAAGACACAGCAGGCATGCACGTGGTATTATTTAAAAAACAGGACGGGTTGGGCTACAACAGCCAGTTCGAAGGTGCACGCGACCGCTCTCGACAACAAGTGTGGCGCCAACAAGTTGCAAAACGATCCGAGGTCGGGGGGGGGGTCAAGGTTTGGTACGCCCTGTGATGGCAGCGGGCTTCGCAGAAACTCTAGAACCGCCGACCAAAGCACGTGAAATAGTCTCCTCATCGCGAGGGTGGAAGGGGTAGGGAGAGCAAGATCGCACACGAACGAGAAAGGTCCTGCTGCTGCTGTTGGGTGCGGGTTCATCTCTCGAACCGACCGATCGGTGCACACACGGACGTTCCGATGAAATAGAACACCCACACGGTAAACCGACGGACAAAAGGGAGGACATGGTCGTCTTGCCTGCAGGCAACGTCAACACCACAACTCACATCGCTGAGGCAGGTTACGAACTCGGGGTCTGCCTTGGTGCCCTTGAGCGCCGGGTCGTCCTGCGGGTAAGGACGTGAGTAGGACGCGAAGGAATGCGTACGTCAAACGCGACGGGGTCGGTCGAGAAAACAGGCGGCCGAAAAAAGCGTAACGTTGGCGCGCGTTGCATCGTCGCTAAGCCACGGCAACGTTTCACCGTCCGCCGGTGGATGTGCATCCATCTTGGTGTTCACGCGTACCCGGCAAATTGAGTCAATTCAGATGAATACAGAACTGCAGAGGTTTGGAGAACTTAGGGTGTACGACAAGAGGTGTACGACAAGAGGCCAGCAGAAACCCCCTGTGCCGCAGCGCTCTTGCTTCGGGACCTGCTGAATTTTACTGCACACCTAAGTCTCAACACGGACTGCTCTACTGCAACGGCGGTGTGGTGGCATTCAGCACAGACCTTAGCGTCCGCGGCAGAAACGAAGGCGAAGGAAGACATCGCCGCGGCCCCGAACACCGCTCCCAGCACATCCTTTCGCGACGTCGGCAACTCTGCTGCCGAGTAGTCGCTGCTCCCGGGACCTGGTGCTGCCTCTGCTGCCATCACATGTCGCGATGATGGTCGTGCCCCGGCGACGCCTGCTGCTGCTGATGCTGCAGAAGAAGGCGGTATGGAAAACGCGGATCCTCCGCAGGCGAGAGTCGCTACCACCACCGCACCTGTCGGCGAGGTGGGTGCAACAACTTGTCTAAATATCTGATATTGCCGAAGCTCTCATCTCGGGTCTCTGTTTCTGTGTCCCGCTCTCGAGGGCGCGGATTCTGATGATGCGGCGAGCCTTCGAAACACTCACCAATTGCATGCAACAACACAAGTACTTGCCCATATGGGAGCGGTTCGCATAATACACCCCCTAAGCGAAGTTGCATTTGTCAGGAGGGAGAAACTGTATGTGTGCGCTACGATTGCAGAGGCACCTGCGGGTGCAGGATGACCTTCAGGCACGGTTGCGTGATTCTGAGACGCACTGCTGTGCACAAGTGCAACCTCACCCCCTATATATCAAGAGAGCACGTGGTGGTGCCTTGAGGGAAGCGATCGTCATCGATCATCGATCCCGAAATCCTTGACTGAGGGGATTGGTTGCACCGCATCGAATAAACAGCTGGCGGCGTAAAAAAGTGCACTCGCCTTTAGCAACGTAGGGGGCCACCATGGTCAGCTGGTGCTTGGCCAGGTGTTGGTCTGCTGAAGCTGGGCTGGGAGGGCGAGAGAAAGCAGCAGCACAAACGACACTCTTCTTGTGTGCGTGTCTTGCTTGCTCTCATGAACAGGGGTAGGTGGCACGCAAATGTGCATGATATATGTACATATCCCGTATCTCCCCTGTCTGCGGAGACCCCTATGTCGCGCTTTGGTGCAGGGGACCTGCTCTGTGCTGGCTCCTCTCCTCCCACACGCGACTGCAAGATACGGTAGCTGGTCCAGGATGATACTCCGAAGATGGACGCTTGGCCCCGGATACTTCTCGCGATGGAGCGTTCTGGCAGCAGCGTGCTGCGTGAACCTCTTCACGTTGTACAGGTGGGTGAGCACGCTCTCTGATGCCTCTCCTGCAGCTGTTGTTCCATATTTTTTGTTGCCCACGTTTTTGATCGACACTTGGGACGCTCCTTGTTTTGACTACATATACACTGCGTTGTACAGCATCGGTAGAGGTGGGCACGGTACGTTTCCCGCAAAAGAGGCACACTGCATTGGGAGTTCGTCCGTGCCACAGGGTCAGCAGATCTTGGCTCGAAAGCGTGCAGCAGTGCGATGGATATGTCTCTGTTTCTTCGCATGTTGGCGGGGGGAAAAAAGACTGGGAGAACGTTCAAGGACACAGAACGGTGGCGGAGTTGGCATCCCCCCGCCAACACACCCAACACACACGGCTTCATCATCGCACCGCACCGCGCCGTCTTGCAACTGCTGTTGTTGTGCACCCCTCTCTCGTGGCCAAAAGTGCAAGATACGTGGTGTTTTCACGGGAACAACACGACCGACTCACGCCCAGCTTGTCCCCCGTCTGTGTGTGTTGTTCGCTTGGAAATGATGGAACGCATCATCAACCATCTCCTTTGCGCAGCTACGCGTACGGCCTGTTTAGCGACACCCTCAAGGACTCCTTGGGATTCTCTCAGAGTGCGGTGGACGTCATCGCTAGCGTTGGAGAGGCGGGGCTCTGGAGCACCTTTCTGGTCGGTGAGAAAAGGAGCGCAGTCACTCTAGGTCGTAACCTGTACACACCAGTACACCGCTGCTGTTTGTGCACCAAAAAATCCTACATGGGTGGTACATACAACCAAGGCATTAGAGACTGCCCGTAGCTTTTTCGCGCCAACCAAGGCAAATTCCTCCGCAGCTCTCCGAAGACATGGAAGGCGCACCTGCCTGCCCGCAACACCAACTCAATGTTGGAGCGCTACACCACGTTGTTGCCCGTTTCATTAGACTTTAGCGTAGTCTGCGAGAGTTCTTGGTGCGCAAGACCGCTCGTCGACCGGTCTCGTGCGGTGTACAGCGGCAGTCCATGTTCAATGTTGATAAATCCCCGTCACACCTTGTCGGTCCGGAAGTTTCCAAGATTCTTCTCCGGGATGTCTCTCGCACCCCCACATACCAGAACTAAATGGCTGGTGAACGGGGGGGCGTCACTCTTGTCTGCTTTTCCGAGCGGGATGACAGAACGGCTTCCGGGTTCTGTGTGTTTCCGTCCTCATCTACATGCGCACGGTATTATATTCCGGGCGCCGGTCCACAAGCCCATCGTTTGCAGATGTGAATGCTATGTTTGACGCAATTGGTAGCCGAATAGCCGGGGTCACGGCAGGACGAAGGTAAAAACAAACTTGTACGCCGCTTGCTGTACATCTGTATTTTCTCTTTTTCTTACTGTTTCCTCGTTATTTTATTTTTCTCTTTTTTCTCTTTTTCTTACTATTTTTTCTCTCTTTTTCTGTGCCAGATGGCCTTGTCTCTGGTTGCGTTGTGAAGTACCAAGATTGAACCAAGGGGGTGTACCTCTTTCTCTCCGGCCCATGATAGATAGTCACTCCTAGTCTCAGTTGATACCTCGCATAGAGCGCAGAGGGAGTGGAGGATTCCAGAATATCTGTCGTTGATTTCTATTGACTTGCGGACCCCTCGGGGCCAGTTTATTTGAGTGTACCTTTTTAGGGTAAGTTAACCTGTGACCACGGGAATCGACCGCGTCGAGTGTTGGATCAGTACGGACATACGAAGGTAGTGGGTAGAGAGAGATCGGAACGGTTTTTAATGTGAAGACAACAACAACAACCACAACAACAACAACATACCATTGTCTTGTTTTTCACGATTGTTTGCTCTTGTTTCTGTTGTTGCACTCTTTTTCGTGGTGGTCTTCACGTGGCACACATCTGGTGTGCGCATGTTTGGGGTGTCAGCGTCGTTAGGCCGCTCCTATTTCGGGTACGACAACAGCAGCACGGAACGTTTTTTTATGCAGAGTTTTCGAAGAGCTGATTCTGATTCGGTCATGATATATTTTGTCATCACCCCGAGGCCCTTAGTCCATTCGATCTTTTGGGATCTCGGTCTCTTCGCACCAAGACCGAAAAAACAAGGGAAATAGACACAAGCGGGTATACCCACCCCTTTCTCGGACAAAAGTGGGTACTCGAAAATTCAGCGTGCGCGCACTCCATAGGCGACCCCCGAACGACTCAAAACCCCATTCTGACACCTGGGCGACACAGCCAGGGACCATACACAGCATGCGCATCGATTTTTCCCCACTTTTAGGCACACCTTTGGCCCTAATACCGCCGACGCGCGCAAGGCCTCACCAGAGTGCCCACTTATGTCCGACATCGCGGTGGGTATACCCACCGGCGTCAACTAATTTTTTCATGTACCCACTTGTGTCTGTATTTTGACCCACTTTTGTCCAAATTGTACCCACTTTTGTCCACTTACGGACGGCGGAAATCGAGCGGAAATCGACCTCCACGTCACCGCACGGCAGAACATCGAATAGACTCGGAACGTCTCAGAACCTCCCAAAACCATATCCATGGCATCTTTCCTATCCATGGCTGCCGACTGCGGACCGACCACGGAGGAACATGTCAGAAACATGCCAGACCCCTTCGGTACCGGCACGGGAAGATACCAGGCACGGGAAGATACCCGCGGCAAGCCCGGCAAGCAGCGCACTAACGGCACGCCACACATAAATGCGTGACACACAACGGACAACACAACCAACGGACAACACAACCAACGGGTCGCGCGTACAGAACAAAAAGACGCGCAAAGTGAGTTTTTCTCTCGCTTCCGCTCCTGGCCAAGTGGATAGCGCTAGTTCGTGTGTACACAGAGGGAAGAGAGTGCTGAACTCTTCTCGCAATAAAAATTGAAGGCGAAGTACCGCAGGAGGGGAGGGCAGAGAGAGGCTCTTCTGTGTGACCACGGGTTGGAATAAACGGCACTAGTGCTGTGAGCGCTGATTTGAAGTAAAGAACAAAAAAAAAAAAAAATAGCGTCAAGTGTCAGACTATCATACATGATAGTACGAACAGACGAAGAAGGTACAAGAAGGTACTGGGTAGAGAGAACAGAACGAACGGTTTTTTGTAATTAATTGTGAAGACAACCACAACGGCACTGCTGGGTTCATCCATGAATAGTTTTTGCAGCACCTTTTTTCAAGTACTCGTGTATAAAACGACTTCTTCATGGATGGATATTGAGAGGTTTCAATTCAACTACTACTACAGTAACTTTTACTACTGGAGTATGGAGGGTGCTCGTTGTTCTGTATGCATGGCATGTACCGGCAGTAGTAGGTGACATAATATATCGCATCATAAATATTCACAGCTAATAATGTTAGTCCACGACGACGAGGATGTCAAACGATAGGTTTGTTTCGGAAAGCTATCGGTGCCAACGCCGCCCGGCCACGATTTCTGCTGTCGAGTAATCGAGCTTTGAAAATTAGAAATTGTTCATGTTATATCTTATGCCATCTACTCTTGTGTGTAGAACTCTTTGTCGTGCTCGGTGGGCGAGCGTGTCGCGGTGTGCGCCCTCGACTTCATTAACGGCTAAAAAACTGGAAAGCTTCAGACAGGCAACGCGACGATACTCGTCGAGTTGCTATCACAATTCGAAAAGGCGCAGGGTATACCCTGCCGTGACTACTTTTCTCAACAACTGCTGTACCCTGTTTTCGGAAATGTACCCTGACCTGACGGGAAAAGAGACCCTTTCATCAATCATTTCCCCCGCAGGAATCTTCCCAACTCCTTTCCCCCTCCAACCATGGGATACCGAACGGCGAATCTTCCCGCCGAATAACAACCACGGCAACGGGGCAGGAATCAGTTTTCCGCCCCTGCGAAACAACACCAACCATCAACTCTTCCGCTCTAAGTCAACAATGGCCGGGTAACACCCCAGCACAATTGTTCCGTTTGGAAACAGGCACACACGCGTACAATACCCCGTGGACTACTGCTTGCTGCAGTCTATACATATGCGAGATGCACGGGTCACGCTATGAAAGCGAGACCGATCCAGCATGGTTGACATGCATATGCATGTGTGCGCGCGTGTGTTGTCTGTTGTGTCTCGATTGCGATGTGCCGTGCGTGCGTGCGTGTGTTGTCTGCTGTGTCTCAATTAATTGCGATGTGTTTTTTTTTGCTTGAACTGCTGCTGTAGCAGCAGCGGTCACGCTTACCAGCCAACCAATCAATCACTGTAGTAAGAAGACGTCAGGCTTCAGCGGGATGAGCCGATGAAATACAACGAGAGCACTCTCTCTTCTCTCTACCGACAGGGAGGGTGATTGAGTCGGACGACACAGCAGTGTCCTGCTGCTAGAGTAAGGGTAAGACTCGTGTGTGCGTGATTGATGTCAAGGGCATGTCTGTGTGTGCTGGTCCTTCCTCTCCCCTCCACCCTCTCTGCGGGCGCGAGCTCGCCGCCAGCACAGCTCCACACATTGTTGTTGTTGTCTTCACATTAAAAACCGTTCCGTTCTCTCTGCGTAGTACCTTCTTCTGTCCGTACTAGTCTAGCACTTGACGGGATCGATTCCCGTGGTCACAGGATAAACTAACCCCAAAAAGGTATACGAAAATAAAAAGACCCGAAGGGTACGCAAGCCGATAAAAGTTAGCGACAGATAGTCTAGGCCACTCCGCTCGCCTCTCTGCACTCTATGCGAGGTAACCCTAGATTGGAAAATATAGAAAAAGAAAAAGGAAAGAGAAAGAGAAAAAGAAAAAGAAAAAGAAAAAGAAAGGAATTGAGCAGATGGAGAGAAGCAAAGGGAAAGAGAAAGACACACTCCGTAGCGACAAGCAACAAACAAACAAACAGAACAACACAAAACAACACAAGACAAAGCGGGTCACTCGAGCCAGCCCATGCACGACATCGCTCGCGGGGGGTTGGTGCAATGGTGCAGTGCTGGGGGGGGGGGAGGGGGATAAGTCAAGCAAGAGGTTCATTTCGGCACGGCGTTTCGCGCCACTCGGTCCGCCTCTTGGCGTTTCCTGCCTTTCCTCGCCGTCTCGTCCGCCTGCTGTACCCCTCCCACTCCCGTGGTTGTTGCCATGTCCGTGTTGTTGCCGGGCTTCTGGTTTCGTTTGAGCGCTCGTTGTCGGCTAGCCTCCTCTTCCTTCTTGTGCCAGGAAGCCATGAACCTCTTAGCCCCCTGCAGTACCCCTGTATGCCACGGTACCCCCCGGTCCACCTTCGCTGCTTCCATCCAAGTTATTTCCGGGACTCCGAAGAAGCATGGCTCGGCGTCCGTAGATCGTTCTGCTTCGAACATCTTGAGGTCGTCCTTCAGGCACATCTGCCAGTTTTGCTCCGGTTTTCCCCTGCCTGGACCCTCCCCCTCCACCAATTCGCCAAGCATTACCCGTTTCGGGAGTCGTCCGTCTGGCTGCCTTACCAGCGCTCCCGCGAATAGCAGGCGCCGTTGCCGGATAGTGGTTTCCACGCCCTGGCACATTGGCACATGCATATGCATGTCAACTATGCTGGATCGGTCTCGCTTTCATAGCGTGACCCGTGCATCTCGCATATGTATAGACTGCAGCAAGCAGTAGTCCACGGGGTATTGTACGCGTGTGTGCCTGTTTCCAAACGGAACAATTGTGCTGGGGTGTTACCCGGCCATTGTTGATTTAGAGCGGAAGAGTTGATGGTTGGTGTTGTTTCGCAGGGGCAGAAACTGATTCCTGCCCCGTTGCCGTGGTTGTTATTCGGCGGGAAGATTCGCCGTTCGGTATCCCATGGTTGGAGGGGGAAAGGAGTTGGGAAGATTCCTGCGGGGGAAATGATTGATGAAAGGGTCTCTTTTCCCGTCAGGTCAGGGTACATTTCCGAAAACAGGGTACAGCAGTTGCTGAGAAAAGTAGTCACGGCAGGGTATACCCTGCGCCTTTTCGGACGCACCGGGTTGAAATTGGGCGCTGACCAATGATATGAGTGCATTTACTTCTGTTAATGACTGTGTACCCAGGTGTGTCGCTTTTCGACCAGGGTATTCCCTGTTGTGTCGTTTCCCCTTTATTTTTCCTTGCCACAACACAACCATATCCATAAATAAACGCGTAGAATTTAGCATTTAGTTCTTGGAAAAAGGAACGGTTTGCTTGTGGGCGGACTATCCGTCAAAAGATGACACGAACAACCTTCCTTGTGCGCGCGCAGCCAGAGCCGATCGCCAACAAGCGGCGGACAACGCAACGGCGGGCAGAGGGTGACAAAGAGGCCCGTTTGCAAACGCGCCATCCACACAGCAGCACCTCACGCCACACGCTACTGCTGTTGTTGTACATTTTGTTGGGAAAAAAAAAAAACGGAACAACCCCACCCCGCGTCTCTTGTACTGCCGCCTCAGCCGATCACAGCGACACTTTTTTTAAAGCACCTCACTCGCTGGTGTGGTGGTAGCGATGTCCTTGCACCGAAAGTTCAGTGCATACCATATACGACACAAGATAACACACCCCCTGGACCGATTTTCAAAGCTCGATTTCTCGACAGCAGAGAGAGTCACAGCGCCGAAAACGGCGTCGTTGAAGCCGCCTTGTCGAGAGCTTTCCGAAAATGTTTCATTTCGTTTATGAATGTTCTTCGTCGTGGCGTAATCGAGCTTTGAAGATGGGTTGTATACGGTACTCCCACCGGAACCCTTCCATACGCTTTAGGCTGTAAACACATGCAGCTAACCGTTAGGTTCAGATATAGACCATTCACTTGTCAGGCACGCACACAATTGTGGTATGACACAGGCATTGTGTGTAACGGGGGTCTCCATGCTCATGCTGTGGGTCAAGTCCCTATGGGATGTGTAATGTGGAGGACACACCAGGTTCAACCCCTCGTGAGGGAGGAAGAATAGATGTACGGTGACGGGCCGTGAGATAGAGGGGCGACTGGCCCGCTGTACTTCTACGCGGGTTCGGCAGCCCACGGACTCTTGTCTGTGGCAACAAACATCACGGAGGTAGATAATCTCCGACGGGTCTTCTGAAGTCACAAATCTACGAGACAATCTTGAGGTGACATCACGCTTTTTTCTTATCCTTTCTGAGCGTGTCATTTTCAACATTCCTCCTCCTTCTTTTTCCTTGTTCTCTGTCTCTGTCTCTGTCTCTCTCTCTCTCTCTCTCTCTCTCTCTCTCTCTCTCTCTCTCTCTCTCTCTCTTCCTCGCTCTCTCTCTCTCTCTTCTCCCTTTCCCCGAAGGCCTTATCTTGGAGCGAAAATCTCCACGAGAAGTCTACGCTCTCGGGAGCATAGCATCGGGGGTGGGAGTTGGATATGTCTCCCTGGCTATTGGGAAGGTAAGGGTACAGCAGTAGTAGGCAACGCCAAGAACGGCGTCGGGCGTGCGGTTAAGCCGCAAGCGATCGTCCATGCACACGGAGGTTTGCTCCCTCCCGAACCGCCGTAAAGTTTTCTTGTACAGATTTTGTCGAGTACCCGCCACTTGTCCCGAGAGAGGAAAACCCAGCGGTTAACAACGAAGCGGTTATTTGGCTCAGTAATAGCTTTGGCGAGGATAAGTTGTCTTGGTTTTAGTAGGGGGTACGTGGTGCGGATGGGGTTAGGGTTGGAGATAGGGATACGTACCCCCCCCTCTCTATTTCATAGATTGATAATATAACCCTCGTAAAGACGGCCCTTTTGGCTTGCTGACGGCACGTGGCAGTCATCAGAACGGGTTGGTGTCCGGGTGCGAGAGAATCAAAGATTTTTTTTCGACGAGATTTTTCCTAGAGCTCAGGTGTGTGACCGCTCACCACGATCGCGGCGCGCTACAGTATGTATGTAGACCATGAAGAAAGATAGGGACCATTGGCATAATCATGTTCGTATCCGAAAGTTCCTTAAATTTTCAAACAGAGTTGATATGCCGTACAATCGCGTACTAGCCTTTGAACTGGTGTGTTGTGTAGCGTGACCGACGTGGTATTGTCCTTGCTTCGTCCGGTTGGCCCTTCCCTACTTCTCGCCAGCTCAACACGAGTAGACTCCGAACCCATCACCTCTGCCGCGTGTGCCTACTGTGCTGCACTTCGCTTTCCGCAGGTGTTGCCGACTAACCCCGCGGCCATGGGTTTTTTTTTCTACCTCGCGAACTTTGGGACTTCGTGCTACGGGCAGGCTGCGACAACCACGGTCCTCCGAAGCTTTCCAGCGTCGGACAGAGGCAAGGTACGACCCAAGCTACCTCCTCCCTCCTCCTCCTCCTCCTCCGTTTCGAGTGCTTGTACCTTGGTTAGGCACTTTTTTTTCGTTGCCTGCTCCTTTGGTTCCAATTGGCCGGGGTGATGTTGCCTGTTAATCTTGTGCCATCTTTCATTTTTTTTCATCCTTCATAAGGAGTATTTAGTACTTCTACGCATTTTCTTCGCAGTTTTTGATTGCTACGAGTATCACGCATTGCTCCTCAGTTTTCCATGGATACCGCGCGCGTTCTCTCGTCGCTCCAGGTTGCCGGTGCCATCAAGTCCATTTTTGGGCTGAGTTCCGCCGTCCTATCGGTACTGTACGCCGGGCTGTTCGGATCGGTCGGGGTAGGGCGGTTCTTGCTTTTTCTGAGTATTGGGGTGCCGCTAGTGGGCACGATATCGTCGGTGCCGATCAACGTCGTGCCCCCCAAGCACTTGTCGTACGCGACGGAGCGAGTTCAGGGGGTGAGTCAGCTCGTGCGTGTGCATCGGGATGCATACCGCCGTCGCAATGTTGTTGCTGTTGTTGTTGTTGTTGTTGTTCGGCTGTAGTCGCCATCTCCTCGGCGTTCAGACTAACCGTTCGGACCTCAAGCACGTGGTGATGTCAATCAACATCCATAGCCAACGACTGTCTCGTGGCTGAGAGTTTTTCATGGACGCCACTCGCATTGTTTACTTTAAATGTAGAGGAACCGAGTGTGCGTGTGCTTGTTGGTGCCTTCTCATGTTCTCTTCACCTCTATCCTACAAATAGTGTGGCGATGTTTACCAAAAGTTATTCGAAGGTCAGATTTATCGTTGTCTCTCCTAAAGCTGGTCTGAATGACAGAGCGCCCGTAGACGCGCGGCGGAACGACGTACTTGGTTGTCGAGTATTTTATGCATTATATTACATGACACGGTGGAGTTTGCCCCGTGTTACCTTCAGAGTTTGTTTCCCCTCGTATGCAGCATGCTGCTTTCGATCCCGGGTGGTGCGTCACACAGACACCGCAAAAGTACAGACTGGCGCTCAGAGAGCTAGATGGGACGAAACCACACGGCACTGGTTCGATATGGCGCTGAGCCTCCTTGTGAGGGCAGTTTGAAGTAGCTGTTATGGTGGGTCTCATGTCGAAAGTCACGCAGACATGCATCCTATTCGCAATGCGCAGCCCGTAAACCTTAAGCACACATGACCTTCTACCACGCTCTCGTCAAAGTGTGTCCTGCATAATGGCGGACGGTATTTTTCCACACGGCGGACAATGTTTTCTCCGCACCGTGTATGTACCGTTGATGAATGATACTTGTACACACCGTACTGATTCTGTTCTGTTCCGATCGCCCCCCCCCCCCACCCCAA